ACATTCCTCTAAAGATTTTAATCATTTGATTAAAATACACATTACACTAAAATGCAACATAATATCAAAGAATAAGAAATAACGTACGCAGTGGATGGAGGGTAAAATCATGCTGCATGTTTAGAATTATTTTTATTTCTTCCAGTGAGTCAGGAATACGGCGAATGTCCGAGTCTGTGTATAAAGGACTGTGTGGTGAAGTGGGCACTCCTACACATGTCACCATCAGGAGAGACGTAATGGACATCAGAGAGATTCTAAGTAATCATATCACAGTTAAAGGGTGCGCAGTACATTTTAAGAATCGAGAAAATGGTAACTTCAGAAGGATCTTGAGTGGAAGTCATCGGGAAGGATTTAGACTGGAGGGATCAGATATGGACATTATGTATTCCGACAACCGTTTTATTGTAGTCTGGGACTTAGAACAAGCTCAGGTTCATGAGTTAGGCGAAATGACTCTCCTTCTGTGTGACAGTTCTGAAAGTCCTCCTGGATATACTTTACTTCATGTAATGTTATCAAGAAATATGCCAGTTGAACTCTATGAAACAGCGATCAAAATGAATAATGATTTTTATATTTCCAGTTCTAGAAATAAAATATGGTTTTTACCAAACTCAAACTTCACGGAACATGGACCCTGTATATGTAGAAGTAATCACCTTCTAGATGTAGCCTATTGTTTTCATTGCAATTTTTGGCCTCCATCTGCTTTCCCATGGATAGACAGATGTCACTCTTGGCCCAAGCCTCAAGTTGTTCAAGATATTGTCAGAAATGGATGTCACCTTGTAGCTATAGGATCCAGATTAGGAAAACGTGAAGACCATGAATGGAGAATTTCTTTCTCTCAAGCAGAACAAAAACTAGTGTATTCAATCAACCACGGTCAATTCTTGACCTACGGTTTGCTCAAAATTTTCCTAAAAGAAGTTAATCAACAGTGGAATTGCTGACCAGGATAAATTACTTTGTTCATATCACATAAAGACATCTGTTTTCTGGGTGATATAACAAACTACAATACCTATCTGGTGTCCACAAAATCTTCTGGAGTGCTTCTGGATCTGCTTCAGACGTCTCCTTAAATGGGTCTATGAGGGAGTTTGTCCAAATTTTTTCATTCCAGAAAACAATATGTTTCTGAGTAAAATCCATGGTGATGCACAGAAGGGTCTCTTCTGTAGACTATATGAATTATATAAGAAAGGATTAGCATGCCTGCTTCATAGTCCCACCATCAGACCCTATGTTATGAAGGTCCTCCTCAATCCTAAGCAGTATATCTATATAGATGAAGACAATCCTAGAAAAACTGCATTGACAGATATAAGGATAGAGATGCTTCTTCATTTAGAACTTTTGAATGAGAAAAAACGCTGTCTATTTAGCCTCCCTCTGGACCTACATGGACGTATTCGGAGTCTACAAACTGTAAAACATCTAATAAATTTTCCACTGACACAGTATCAAGTTGTTTGTTTACAGAAAGAAACAGCCGTCTTCTCTCATGCAATTGCATTTCTATTATTGAACAGGTGGAATAACACCTGTACAAACAAACTGATGTATAGAGTTGATAAAATGTCCTGTAACATGCTAAGACTAGCAGCCAGGTTTGGTTGTTTTTCTAACATATTGTACTTAGCCATGTACTATTATCGTACATCTAGATACATGAAAGCACTTTCTAGTATAGAGAAGACCAAAGTCAAGTTGGCTCAGACACATGAGCTATATAACAGTATCGACACAGAGAAATTTCACGTGCGTGCATTAAAACAGTATTATTCTGCACAACTAAAGCAGTTTAAGACAAGGGATATCGAACTTCATACTGACTTCTATTACATATATGAATTAATGCCAGAACAATCTAGAATAGAGAAACCTCTAACTCTGCGCATCCCCCCATTGGTAATGTCATACATGCTAGAAATATTGTGCTCCATTCATACTGATGCAATAAGAGCACAAAGAGCTCTCGATGATCTACAGGCCTTAGTCCACTTTGATCACGCTTATGTATTCGAAATACACAAAGACATATCATGGCAGATCCTAGGGATTTGTCAACAGACCATGGGAGACACCCAGGCTGCTCTATTCTCATACCAACAATCCCTCATACAAACACCAACCCATGGAATACAAACTGTTACACTAATAAGAATACGGGATATTATGACAACAGCCAAGCATTAGTTCTTGTGATAAGTCAACTGGTATACAAATGACAGAGGATAATTTCTGATCAAGTACTGGTCAAATATTGAAAATAAAATTAGGGAAAACTATGGTTGGTATGCATGATAAGAAGTTTTAAATGCTAAAATAATTTTTATATGGAAATGAAGGGCAGAAGAAGAGACATAAAATAAGCTATTTTGAAAACAGTTAGCTGTTTGTGACTTGTTTTATTCTGTAATTTAACATCATATCAATGTACCTTTTAGTCCTTATGAATAGTTTATTCAAAGACTAAGTTCCACATACTTTCCAAGCTCAAAAATGCAGAATTTGACTTTCATGTTAAAAAAAAAAATAACACAATTCTCAAAATAAAGTAATACTTATGAACTTTAGAATTTTTTTTTTACTGTTAAAATGTTTTGCAATTTAACATCTGTCACATGACGAATGATCTACTTTGAATTAGACATTTTATTAATATGAAAGCTTTAACTATATACAGTGCAATTATATGTTTTGTAAAAATGAAAATGTGAAAACAAGTTGTTGGAAAAAAAATCTGTTCTAAAGAGTAAGTAACATCATGGAATGAAATGAAAACTTCATTGAAATTTGCAGATCTAGAGTTAATCAGAACCTAAACATACGTGATAATAGACAACAAAACTCACTTCCACAAATATTACCTTCAGTAAGGTCAAATCCAGCATCCGCATAAGGTCTGTTAGTGTCCACCCCCTAGAGACATCATCCATGCATGGTTGGTCCAAAGAGAACTTATTGTTACTTAGAAATGGACATGGTTTGATAAATAGTTGAGATCCAGCATCTAAAACTAGTCTGGTATTGCGCATCCTTAGATGCAACATCAGTGAATCTTTGGTCAAATTAAGGCTTATGGTTACTTTGGAATACCTGATAAAAATGTAGGTGGGATCGAGCATCCAAGCAAGTCTAGGAGTGTACATTCCTTGATGCAACATGCATGCTAATTTGGTTCAGATGAGACTAATAATTTTTCTGGAATGGATCTGATAAAAAATGCTGGTTAGATCCAGCATCAGGCTTGCAGGGCCATAAAACCTAAATGAGTTCACTTTTGAATATAGTCTCAATTTTCCCCAATAAATTTCTTATGAACTTTGAGGTAATTAGATAAAATGAATGAAATATATAAAAATATCGAACAATATTCAAGCTCAAAAGTCCATTATTGATAAACAATACAGAAAAGGAGCAGAGCAAACAAGGACATTCAAAACATCAGAAGTGGAATCAAGTGCCATGGAGGAGTGAGCATGTCCTGCCGACAGGTCACACCCGTCGTGTGCTCCTTGTCATGATCGGTAAATAATGGGAAAAATCCGTTGACAATTCTGTGTGTATATAGTAGCCTAACAATGAGTCTGAAAACCGTCTGAAAGTATTTGATTCAACGATAAATTATACAATCATTCCAGTAATTGCGCGTCACTTATCTGGATCAAGAGAAAGAGTTTCACATGTAGATTATCAGATTACTCATCGGTAAGAGGATTGGATGTTTGATTTTAATGAAAGCAATACTTATTTGCATATGAAAAACAGAACCCAGCAATACCACTTACAAAATTGAACAATCGTATTGAATGATTGCTCACGAAAAGCAGTAAACAAAAGTAAAATGTGGACAGGCAAATCAAGTTTTAATCAAGGATGTATCTCTTTCTACTTTTCTACCGTTTTTTATTGAAATCAGACCAAACTGTAGGAGGAGTAATATTTTTCTTTACCATAGAACCACTGTCTATCAATCAAAATCTAACTGATTGTCAGAATTCTATCTTTGTACAATTTACATGTACTAGAAGTCAGTAAATTTCATAATTTGGGTGTGTCCCTACCCTCCTGGAGTCATGATTGGAATATATACTTTGAATCTTCGCTACCTGAGGATACTTCCATATAAATATAACCAATCATGGCTTTGCTGTTCTTGAGAAGAAAACTTAAAAGTATTTTTTTTACATGTATTCCTTTGTAAAACTTTGATCATCTATTGTGACATCTGAAAAGTTTTGTCATTTCAAAACCATTAAACAATTCTTTGAAATTTTGGAAATTGTTTTTGTTTGACAACATTCAATTCAGTCTTCCATTATATGTAACATTATCAAAAAACCTGAAGGTATTTTGTATACATATGAAGCAGAATTCATTCAAAAACTTCTACATAAGAAGAAAACCATTAATGATGAAGGAAGAACAATGTAAAAACCTATCATACATCAGAGGAGGGATCAGTTGCCATGGAGGAGTGAACATCCCTGCCGACCAGTCACACCCGCCATGTGCGACTTGTCATGATAGGGATATAATGGAAAAATCAGTCATCAATTCAGTGTGTATATAATACTCTCACAATTAATATAAAAAACGTCTGTTAGCATTGAATTAATGATAAATTGTATTTTTTGACAAGGTCATTATATCGACCATTGAGAGATTGCTTTGAACAAGACTGCTGATATTTTTTTGGTTTCATCAATATGTTTTTCAATATTTTACCTTATTGTATAGTATTTTTAACAACAGAAAATTGAAGAAAAAAAACATTGATACACACCCTCATTTGACCAAATAAGATTTCAAAAAATTTCTTAAAAGAATTTATTCGTTTCATAAACATAATATCCAATGAAAAGACACTTCAATCATACAGCTCAAAAACCAGTTCATCTACATTCAAATATTTATTGATTATTCAGACTGCTTAGAGCAGAATTATTTTATTAAAAATTTAATTTAAACTGTAAACAGGCTGTATTGATAAAAACTATAATCAAACTCAACAGATAATATTAAATTATACAATTTCCAGTATAAAGTCAAATATATGAGGTTTACTTGGAAAACAAAAAAAATCACCCCTTTTCCTGTAAGATCTCAGTAATTTTACAGTGAATTGTTTCCAGGTTGTTCCAGGAATTTGATGACAAATTACAATCCTCTGTGTTGCTAAAGTTTTGTAACTCTGATAAAGTCTGTTGTAACACTACCACCAACTCCTATACCTGCGTCCCTAGCTGTTTGAAAAAAAATAAACATGAAACTGACAGAATATTTTTAGAGACTTCCTCAAACAGCATCACTAAATCCTTTCTCATGAAAATTAAAAAAAAAACATAAAGAATATCTAAAGTATCTTTACCTTTGTAGTTATTCTACTATCATTATCCATTAGTCTTGGTCTTTTACTGCTGGGCTAAAAAAAGAAACTATATGAAATCAATCAGGAATTCTTAAATTCAAAAAAATTATGAGTATCATTAAAATTACAGATTTGAACTATAAAAGCAAGTTATCTGAAACAGAATGTAAATAATCCACAGGGGCAGTGTGCCTGGCAGTAGTTAGAATAATCTGTGATGAGGGCTTGTCCCATATAGTTGTAATGTAGCATTTCTGAGCAGAAATGATTTCAAAAAATACAAAAGGAGTTGCAAAGAAAATAACTACCAATTTAATAAGGAAACTTTTTGAGATAGTATATGCCCTTTTCACATGAAAACTAATCCATATTTAGATTCAACTCAATTTATTCTTGCATTATTGCCAATACACAAAATGAATTCCATCGTCAAACACTGTCATTTTAACGAGAGATTATTCTATTTAGCCTGGCAGTCATAATTATTTTGATCAGAAAAGCTCACTTTAGCTTTTACTTTGGGTGTTTAAAATTATTAAACACATTAGGCATCAATTTGGATCTTTTGGCACTCTAAGATTACCTCTTCTGTCTTTATAGAATTACTTCTTTCTTTGTTAACAGTAGGATTAAGGGGTGGTTCCTTCGTCAAAAACTCCAGACGGCTCAGCTCTTCTCAGGTTTTGGTTTCTAAAAGAAAATATAATTAAAGAATATTTTTGATCTGACTCTCACTTCTAAAAATGGCTCAAGACAATCTCAGAACTGATATCATTTGATCAGTTACTGTCAGCATAACCAGTAAAAGATGATTATCAATGTTTACAGAAAGAAATTGGACTGAATGTCAAAACTTTTTCATCAGCAATAGTCAGGATAATAACGTCAGTGTTTTGCAGTTTAACAATTTCCTTTCTTATCAGAAATGTTCCCATTATTATTCAAATCATCTTTTACATATTCTTCACCATGAAATGCATAGAATTTCATAACTTAGACTGGTTTAAAGGTAATCATTGTTATATCTTTTAAGGAACTTCACATATGTTAATAATGTTCAGGTAATAAGAATCCATATAATTACTGTTCATAATAACTCAATGTAACTTCACCTTGCTTAGAAACTGAACCACAAAGTCTTGAAGCTGAAGATGTTGATCTATACAATCTGGAACCACGGATTCATATATCGTGTTCTCAGAAAACTGTGTAAAGGCAGACAATCCATGGTGGTAAATAAATAGCCAGGAGAGGTCAAGGTCATCACAAAGAGGTCAGATAACTTCTTCAAAATCTGAGACTGCTATAAATTGATTTCAGAAGAATATTAGTAAAGTGAACTACAGTAATAAGGCAATCACTCAGATATAATTAATGTGAAGAAACTTTCTCATGCATACATGTAATTCAATCCATTTCTTACAATTTTCCGTAAGATTTCTTTTCTAATTATTCCATTTTTGTTGAATTGATCTATATCTTATTTTTTAATTGATGTATATTTGAACTGAGGTCTGAGACTTAGATATTCACTTTTATGTCTTTATTATGAAGGAAAAATAAGTTATCAACTTAAATTATCCTTCAAAATTTTTGTCTGATAGTTTTTTTTTTTAATGAAAAATTGGCAGTTACCTCTAGAGTTGCTGTAAGCCTGATTTTACCAAAGGACTTCAGAAAACAGACAATGGTCATATGTAGGTGGCTGGAACAGCCTTGTTGTAACAGGAAACTTGTCACAGATAGAATCTAAAAATAGACATAAATGTTGTAACAGGGAATTCATCACATAGAGAATCTAAAAACAGACATAAATGTCCAGTAATACACTTTAACTCTAGTTCCTGTCAAGGCATTACTCCTTTTTGTGCAATAAATTGAAAACAAAGACATTTTTTTTTAATTTGCTTGGCCTTTTCAAACTTGAGATAGAATTGGGTTGGTACTAAGTGGAAAAAAATTATTCAAAAATATTTCTGAATATAGAGTTAAAATAGTTAAAACCTTTTGATGAATAACAAAATGAAAGAAAAAGTGAGCTAGCTCACATACCCCACGCTCCCCCATAACTTGACGGTGAAGCACATTTAATGAAAGGCACAGTGCACTTTAAATACATAGTATAGATCAAAATGGGCAATAATTGCAAAAAATCTTCACATCAAAATGTCTTGCATATGAGGACATTTAAATGTGGAATGAAGTTTCTAGATAAATTATGGAATCAAAATTTCTTGACAATATACAAATCCACACATTAATTTGAAGTGGGGGGGGGTGAGAAATTTTCTTGAATAATAGGCAAAACTCTTTGGGATAAAATAATGGAATATGTCCTAAATATCAGCATAGGTTGACGAAACTATGTACGACAGTTTAAGAGGAGTGGTGCTAACAAACTGTTCATCTCTATATTCAAAATATGGCAAAAAAGTCTAAGTTGAAAAGTGTGGAAATTCCCGGAAAAATAAAGGAATCGGAATTTCCTGGTAATATGCACATCTACATATTGTGTCCTAAATATCTGCAAAGTTTAATGAAATTCTGTACAACAGTTTAAGAGGAGTGGTGCTAACAAACTGTTCATCTCTATATTCAAGGTATGGCCAAATGCCTAAGTTAAAAGTGCGGAAATTCCCGGAAAAAATAATGGAATCGGAATTTCCTGGTAATATGCACATCTACACATTGTGTCCTAAATACCTGCAAAGTTTGACGAAATTCTACGCAGCGGTTTATGAGGAGTTGCGCTGACAAACTGTACATCTCTATATTCAAGGTATGGCCAAATGCCTAAGTTAAAAGTGCGGAAATTCCCGAAAAAATAAAGGAATCTGAATTTCCTGGTAATATGCACATCTACACATTGTGTCCTAAATATCTGCAAAGTTTGACGAAATTCTGTGCAGCGGTTTATGAGGAGTTGCGCTGACAAACTGTTCATCTCTATATTCAAGGTATGGCCAAATGCCTAAGTTAAAAGTGCGGAAATTCCCGGAAAAATAAAGGAATCGGAATTTCCTGGTAATATGCACATCTACACATTGTGTCCTAAATACCTGCAAAGTTTGACGAAATTCTGTGCAGCGGTTTATGAGGAGTTGCGCTGACAAACTGTTCATCTCTATATTCAAGGTATGGCCAAATGCCTAAGTTAAAAGTGCGGAAATTCTCGGAAAAAATAATGGAATCGGAATTTCCTGGTAATATGCATATCTACACATTGTGTTCTAAATACCTGCAAAGTTTGACGAAATTCTGTGCAGCGGTTTATGAGGAGTTGTGCTGACAAACTGTTCATCTCTATATTCAAGGTATGGCCAAATGCCTAAGTTAAAAAGTGCGGAAATTCCCGGAAAAAATAAAGGAATCAGAATTTCCTGGTAATATGCACATATACACATTGTGTCCTAAATACCTGCAAAGTTTGAAGAAATTCTGTGCAGCGGTTTATGAGGAGTTGCGCTGACAAAAAAAGAGGACTGACTGACGGACTGACTGACTGACTGACTTACTGACTGACTGACTGACTGACGGACCAGTCAAAAACATTATACCTCCCGCAACTAGTTGCGTGGGGTATAATTATTGTTTCCTGGAGGTTAAAATTTTTTTTATAAACATTTCCCCATCAATTCACAAGCAAAACTGGTTTGTAGATATTAGCTCTACTCTACTTTCAAAGGACACAAGTTTTCTAGATCTTTCTTGAGTTCACTGCAAACCAAATATTACAGAAATAAAACTCTGCATTCCTAGGAAAAGCTTAATAACAATACCTTCAGTAGAACATCATTCTCCAGCAGAGAGGAGAGATGTGAACTGAGTAATACAAGTCGCTGGAGACACAGTTCGAGTAGTGACGAGTCTGCCCAGTCTGATATAAACATCTCTCTCCACAGCTGACTGACGCTGTCTGTAATGGACTCAGTTACGGTTGACTGGACGGAATACCCCATTGTATCACTTTTGTCCATTATCTCATATAGGCAGGAAACAGCATTCAGCTGAGAAAATAAAGAAAAGTACTCCATGAATTTATCATATGATTAACCAATTAAACATAAATTATTAACAAGAGGCCCATGGGCCACATCGCTCACCTGAGCACTAAGGGTAGGAAAAAGTAGAAAATGGCTTTTTATTGTAAAGTTTAAATCCAAAAGTAGTCCCATGACCAATCATGGATTTGCTATTTTTTAGAAAATGATTTTTAAAGAATTTTCCTATATATATATCTTTAAAAACTTTGGTCGGTCATTTTGGCCCCGCCCTACCCCGGGGGGTCATGATTTGAACAAACTTGAATCTACACTACCTGAACATGCTTCCATATAAATATGATGAATTATGGCTTTGTCATTCTTGAGAAGAAGATTTTTAAAGAATTTTCCTATATATTTCTATGTAAAACTTTGGTCAGCCATTTTGGCCCGCCCTACCCCCGGGGGTCATGATTTGAACAAACTTGAAACTACACTACCTGAGCATGCTTCCATATATATATGATGAATTATGGCTTTGTCATTCTTGAGAAGAAGATGTTTAAAGAATTTTCCTATATATTTCTATGTAAAACTTTGGTCGGCCATAGTGGCCCCGCCCTACCCCGGGGGGTCATGATTTGAACAAACTTGAAACTACACTACCTAAGCATGCTTCCATATATATATGATGAATTATGGCTTTGTCATTCTTGAGAAGAAGATGTTTAAAGAATTTTCCTATATATTTCTATGTAAAACTTTGGTCGGGCATTTTGGCCCCACCCTACCCCCGGGGGTCATGATTTGAACAAACTTGAATCTACACTACCTGAGCATGCTTCCATATAAATATGATGAATTATGGCTTGTCATTCTTCGGAAGAAGATTTTTAAAGAATTTTCCTATGTACTGTATATCTTTAAAAACTTTGGTCGGCCATTTTGGCCCCGCCCTACCCCGGGGGGTCATGATTTGAACAAACTTGAATCTACATTACCTGAGCATGCTCCCATATAAATATGATGAATTATGGCTTTGTCATTCTTGAGAAGAAGATTTTTAAAGAATTTTCCTATATATTTCTATGTAAAACTTTGGTCGGCCATTGTGGCCCCGCCCTACCCCCGGGGGTCATGATTTGAACAAACTTGAATCTACACTACCTGACGATGCTTCCATATAAATATGATCAATTATGGCTTTGCTATTCTTGAGAAGAAGATTTTTAAAGAATTTTCCTATACATTTCTATATAAAACTTTGGTCGGCCATTGTGGCCCCGCCCTACCCCCGGGGGTCATGAGTTGAACAAACTTGAATCTACACTACCTGAAGATGTTTCCCCATAAGTTTCATCTTTCCTGGCACAGCGGTTCTTGAGAAGAAGATTTTTAAATCATACCACCAAATTTTCATTAATTCCCAATTATCTCCCCTTGAATGAGGGTGTGGCCCTTCATTTGAACAAACTTGAATACCCTTCACCCAAGGATACTTTGTGGCAAGTTTGGTTGAAATTGGCCCAGCGGTTCTTGAGAAGAAGTCGAAAATGTGAAAAGTTTACAGACGGACAGACAGCTAGACAGACAGACGGACGGACGGACAACGGACAAAATGTGATCAGAAAAGCTCACTTGAGCCTTCGGCTCAGGTGAGCTAAAAATAAATTTTATTGTGCATTTAACTTTTGAAAAC